TATATACATTTTTGTTTGCAGTTAATTATTTTTGTTTTATTTCTTTACTTTACTCTTCTTTATTTAAATTTATTGTATATAACTTTTTTCTTATTTACTTTAATTTAATTTTATTTTAATTAATAATAAATTATTTTATTTTTATTTTATTCTATTTATGTTATCTTGAATTACCAATTTTTTTACTTATATTATTTTATTTTAAATTTATTAATATTGTTGAATTTTATTTTATTTTAATTTTTATAGTTTACTTTGTTTTGTTTATTTTAAAATAGTTTACATTTCATTTGTTTTATTTCATATAACTTTTGGAATTTATTTATTTTTATGTTACTTCAGATTTGTGGTATTTTTGTTCCCTATTTTAATTTCATTTTAGTTTTTTATAGTTTTTCGTTATTTTACTTTCCTTTTATTTTCGTTAATTATCATTTCTTTTATATAATTTTTATTCCATTTAAAAAAATATTAGTTTACTCATTAACTTTACTTTATGTTTTTAACTTTATTTTATATTTTTAACTTTATTGCATGAATGTTATTATCTGTTCTTTATTATATTGTGCATATATTTAAATTAACTTCTTTGTTTAACTAAAGCTTTTTATAGCATACCTCGGACGATGGAAAATTTTCTTTAATCGAAATAAGACACAAAATCGTTTTTCACCATTTGTTGGTTTCTCAAGTTTAATGAAACTCTTAGCGCAGTTTTCTCTATTTTGAAATTTAAATTTTTCGCAAAATATTCATACTAATAGACAAGGTTCCTCCTGTACTTCCTTCTACGAACCACGAACCATGTAAATTGCACATTTATAATGATTTATGTACACAATTGAATTTGGAAAATTTTCTTCAAATCTGTTTTGTATGTATGCATGTATTTTCGTATTATTATTCTTTGTTTTTTCGCTATAAATTAAATATAATGAGCGTACACTATTTAAACATACAAGAATATAATTCCTTACAGGCTAAAGTTCATATACATACGTACGCTTTTGTTTTGTTTTGAATTTACTTATGAAAGAACATTGCAATTTTTTGCATTATTTTTTAATTTAAATTAAACTATATAAAATATATTATATACTAATTTTTGTTTTAATAACGTTACCTTTAAGGTTCTTACAGTTCTTTTCTCCTCTTAATTTTGTTTTTGTAATTTTTTTTTTTACTTGTTAGCTTAATAATTAAATGCCATTAGTTAGTTGAGAAGAATTTCTAATAGTAAGAATTGTTTTTTTTTTCTTTTACATATTTAATAGCATAAATTTGTTGCATTTTTTTTTTTTTCATTTTTAAAAATTTTTTGTTTAATTTATTACATTCATAATTAGCATATCGAAAGTTATTAATAATAGTGTATAATAGATGGCGTGTGTAGTTGAATATGAAGTGTGTTTTAACTTTTTTGAGTTTTTTTTTTGGAGCAGCATAGCACATACATATTTACATACAAGTGACAGTACTCATACTATTGCATTTATGTAGATACACATGTATGTATGTATGTACATAAATCAGTTCTTAATACATTCATACACATTCCTTTTGATTTACGCAAAATTAGTTAATTTATTTTGAAAATTTTTTTTAGTGTTGCATAATAAATTTCAGTTAATTTAAATCAATTAAAAAACAGTTTACATTTGTAGATATTTATTTAATATAATTATAATATTTTAGTTGAGTAGCAAGCAGAAAATAAAACTTTTTTCTTTGATATTTTCCATAAATTACCTACCATAACATTGCCACCACATTTTTTTTTTTAATTTTAATTTCTAAGTTTTTTGACAATTTCACATTTCTTTCATATTTTTTTTAGTAAAAGTATACAAGTTTTGTTAATTTATTATTTGCTAATTAAAAAAAAAGCCATTGCACACACAACAATTTATTTAATTTTTCCATAATTTTTTATTAATTGTATTATACGAATTTTTTTGCCGTTACTTGTTAACACTAGCTAAAAATTGTTTGCCAAAAACTCATAAAACCACAAAATCCAGCTGCAACTATACAGTTTATGGGCAAAGGGTTAAGCGATAAGAAAGTGCCGAGAGAAAACCAATAAATTCACAAAAACAAAAAAATGTTTGCTTCATTTATTTAAACATCAATATGATGTAACTAAGGTGAAGACAAATTTTTACTTACTCTTAACCCTTATGGTGCAGAATTTTTTTTTAATTTTCTTTTCGCAGATTTTAATTCACATCAATTAAATATGCTCAATTCGGCTGCCGCACTTTTGTGAAGTGTATATATGTATGTAAATGGCCGGTAAATAACACAATGGAGGGTAAAAAATACCGTATATTACCGTTAAATTGGTATACATACCCTCACTGGGATGGATTAAGGGAGTTTGAGTTTTTTTACTTTTTTCGTTTATTGCTGTCGTTTTTTTTTTCCTTAAGCATAGTAACAACATAGTTTTGTTTGAAAAATATGAAATGGAGCTCACCATACTACGCAATAACCAAATATACAAAATTTAGTGATTAGTTCAAAATTATTAGTCACAAGAAGTCGAGGAGTTAACAATAGAGCTTTGTTGAGGTAAGAAAATATAAAATATATTTCTTTGAATATTGATTGTTAATGCTACCTCGAGACCTGGTGGTGGAGGTATATGTTGCAGTACATGCTCAAACAAATTAATTATATTTTAAAAAGGACTTTTCAAAAATTTAAGGTTCATAAAATGTTTTTTTACTTGACTTTCTAGGGAGAGTTTGAAATTTTGAACCATTTACTGAGGATTTAGTACAATTTTTACGCTGATGTGGCAGTAAAGCGCTTAATATGTTGCCAGTTGCAGCATTTTGACACACGAAAAGTGCTAATTCATGTTCATAACAATTCGCTATTGCTTATGGGGTAAGGCCACTGTGGGTGCTTCAAAAAATTGATTTTTTTATTGGCTAAAAATATTCTTTGAACCTTCTAGAATAAGAAAAGACCTTTTGTCTATGACATGTCCGACATCGATTTTATTGAAATTGTGAGCCCTTTCACCGCGCGCACCGGGACGCTTCGATGCAGCAGGCATAAAAAAAAAATTCAATTGGCTAATTGGTCTATTTTCTCACGCCTTTTTAATATTATTTCAACGAAAATTACGTACGGCTTTTTCGATAAACTAATTTAAACAATTGTTATAAACAATTACTTGAGACATTTTTTTTGGTCATCAAATGAGTTTTTCTCTCAAATGCTTCCAACTTTTACAAAAATCAATATTTTTTAAAAATCCAAATGTCATTCGCTAGCTATTCTCATGAAAATAGATAAACAAAAAAGCTTTTATTTTGTTGTAGATTCTATACAAAAATGTACATAGTTCCGCCATTTTAAACTATTTTTTAATTGTAAATTAATTTTTTTTTTTCATTTAAATATGAAACTTATAAGACATCAAAATCATATGTACAGAGGGCGGGACTTGACATTTATATAATAATAAAAAAAAAATCTTTAAAATATTTTATATGTATGTAAATATGGGAACAATTTTCTCATACAAAAGAATACAAAAATCTTAATGCACTTACGACCCAAAGACGCCGCAGCCACAGATTTGACAATTTTTTACTGAAAAAAAAAACGGCCAAACAACAAGCTACGTTGGCAGAAGGCCACCAAACGTGAATAAGAGTCTCCTCATTTCAGTGTAATTGTATAATTTTCGTTTTTTTTTTTCAAAATTTTTGTCCACAATAACCCACTGTAACTCTTTTACCGCTTTGAAATTTTTAAACACTATTTTTTCACAAGACGGGAATCATCCATTTCCGAAAAGCTTTTTAACAGACAAAGAAAATATGCGAAAATAAATAAATTTGTAAAAAATACTGCCTTTTCGCAAGGCAAATTTACACGCCGTAGTAGCAAGAATACAAAAACCAAAAGCCTATGTGTTTTGTTTGTGTAATCGTAATTTCGAAAAGTCAAAAACGAAATTCGTACAATGTATTTTGTTGGTGTAATAAAAAGTCCGTAATGTTAAAACCTATTTTTCATGTATTTTGTTGAAATGGAAGGAAGAAGAAGCAATCATATGTTGTGACAACTTCACCTTCTATTGATTCGCCTTGTCTTTTCCCTCAAAATTTTGATAATTTTACACTTTTTTTGGAATTATTTACTCATATTCGTAGAATTATTAAAATTAAAAAATAATATTAGTTTACAAATTTTTTGTTTTAAATTACAATACATTTGTTCGGCATTAAACTATTCAGAACGTTTCAATTGTAATTGTAATTATTTAAAAAAAATTCCATGCAAGGTTTTAAAGCCGAAATATTACACTGTTTCATGAATAAAATTATGCAATTTTTTTTCAATTTCAGCAACCCATAAATTGAACCAACTTCGTCGTTAAACATATGATTTCCAACTTGTCGTAACCTTCTGTTCTATAAATCATTTTAATTAATTGTATTGCCTTTCTTTCCACTGAAAAAAGGTGTTTTTTTTTGGCGTTTACAGTGACCTGACCCCTTAAGCAGCGCCTTTTGGATTATTGAAAAAACATTTCTTTACAAAAACAAATTGGTTTTTACCGCTGCCAAGCATTGAGCTTCTAATTGCTTGCATACTTTTGTCGTTGTAGCAATTAAATAAAACCACATTTCGGCATACAAAGATACAAAATGAGTTACGTACAATGGTTTTAGCATGTTTGTATGTTTGTTTGTACATACACATATGATTTCGCATAAATATTTATAAAAGTGGTTTAACAATTCATACAACTTTTAACACTTTTACAATATAAATATTTGCAGAAATTTTTTATTACAAATCCATTTTAATTGCAAGAAGAAAAAAGAGAAAAACTTATAAATATGAAGAAAATAAACAATAATATTATAATTTATATATTTCATAACTATCATCATAAGGTATAATACACATTTACATATACATATATAACGCATGTATGCATTTTCTAATATAATTAATTAATTTTGTTTTTATTTTTTTTTTTAATTAGGAGGTGTATCTTAGGTTGTATACATATTTACATTTGGCGATACGGAACTGTGTTTGCGTATAGTTGCATTTGGTAGCGGAATAAGTGTCGTATGTGTATTCGTTTGTAATACAAATGACTCGATATTAGAATTTAATTCAAAGTAAACAAACAAAAACAAAAAGCAAAGGTATATTAAAGAAAAGAAAAACCAAGAAAAAGAAAGATTTTTAAATTTACAATCTTTTCTACTATTTATTACTAAATATATGTATGTATATGTATTGTTACTTGCTGGCTGGCTGGCAATAATAGCCTTTAAAGCGCACCGTCCACCACACACATGCACTTCAAAAGAACGTGGAGAACTTGCGCCTATTGGGCGTATTCGCCGCCATAACTGGCACTGATGCGTACGCCGATGGCTCAGCCGCGCTCGCTACAACGCTTGCGCCCTTTTTGCGCGCATACGCCGCAGCCGTTGCCGTAATGGACACCGAGGCGGGTGGCACAACAACCGGCACAACCACGGGTTATACAGAGATCTCATAGTTCATGTCGTAGACACTGGCACGCTCCGGTGTCGGTGTGGTGGTACGTGCACCGCCTACTAAATGTTGGCTGCCCGGTCCGCCAACGGCTGACGCTGGCATATTGCCAACAATATTACGTCCTTGTTGCTGCTGCTGCTGCTGTTGTTGTTGTTGTTGTTGTTCCAACGTTTGCATCTCCATGGAATCAGTCATTTCGAGTGCGCGCACAAATGACATTGGACGTGTTGGTGTTTGTTTTCGTTTCACTTGAGGCGATGGCTGTGTCTGCAATTGACTTACAACACCTGCGCCGACGCCAGACCCACTTGGATTGGGTGGAAAGACGGCGACACCGCCACGTAATTGTGGCTGATAACCACCAACGGTTGTATTCGTCATCGCCTGTGATGTTGTGTGCGCATAGTTGTTGGGTTGTGATGCAACGGGATTGCCGCCAACACCGTAACGCATCATATATGTTGGTGCGCTGGTTGACGAAGTGGGCGGCATTGTTGTGGGACTGGTTGGATTGGAGCGATATTGTTGCTGTTGCTGCTGCTGTGTTGCCGGCATATATTCGCCAGGCTGATGCATGCGTGAATGTGTCATTATCAATGGATGCGATTGACCACTACCGCCACCAACTGTGATATACTGCGCGTGATGTATACTATTGCCCATGGTGCCACCGGCACTGCTGCCGATACTCATGGAGGAAGGTGGTATGCCAATACCGACAACACCGCCACAACCACCACCACCGCTGGCACTGCCGCTGCTGCTACTGAAACCGGGTGATGTGTCCTTCCACATGTAGACACCGCGTTGTGGACTACCAGCCAATTCGCGTATATTGTCCACTGTGTTGTTGGAGCGCGCATACGAAAGCTCACTGGTGCCCTGGCGTACTAGTTCACCTTCGGAGAGGAAACGGCGTTGAGGGCTACCGCCGTAGCTCTGTTGGGCCAGCACCTGTTGCTGGTGATGTGTAAGCGGTACTGCGAATGTGAAGTGATAAAGAGAGGGGGAGAGAAAGCAGAAGTTGTTGTTATTAAATATGAAAAAAAGTAAACTTTGCATCTCAAATTTTATAAATTAAAAAATAAGAAAAAGAAGATGAAAAGAAGCGAGATAGGCTAGTAAATGCTTGAAATATTTCCAGAAATTTAATAATAAAACTCAGGACATTTATTTTCCTATAATGTACGTCCTTGAAAAAATATCTCATTTTTCGAGCGATGAGCAACTGGCTTTTAGCCTCACACGAGTGTCAAGTTTTGCTCAAAAGATCTATAAGGGTTATCCATTTGCGGTTTCGAAAATGAACGTGAATAAAACGCATTAAATATATTTTTTTCATAAAATTCCTTTTCATAATAAACTTTGAGCATGAAATGGCTGCCTCGCGAATTTTTGCAATCTTCGATTTGTTTCAGTTCATTATAGATCACTTTTTGGCACACATTGGACGGTATCCCAGCTGTAACTTGATGAAGTTGGATTTCAAGTGCTCAATAATCGCCGCATAAGCACGGTCGATTGCGTAACCCCACAAAAGAAAGTCTAACGGTGTCAAATCGCACGATCTAGGCAGCCAATTGAGATCGCCAAGGGTGAGAGATTATGCGGTCGGGGAATTTCTCTCACAATAAAGCCATATTTCAAACAACGCGCCAGACAATAAGATTTTTTTTGGTGTAATTGCATTTCTACAATTTTGTGGGAGAGTGTGCGTCATCGCTGAAGAAAATTTGCTCGAAAAATCGTCGTCCACTGTTTGTTGTTCAAGCGCTCAATCATCGTATGTACGGCGCTGGGAATGGTCAGCTGGTTTTAGTTGTTGTGTGAGCTGAGTTTTTATGGCTGAATGTGTAAATCCAACTGCAATATACGCCATTATTTGCCGTAAGAAAGTTCCAACTCTTAAGAACGTCGAGACATAGACATATTCGGGGCTTCGGCTACACTTTCACTTACCCTAGCGAAATCTGAGGGTTTGCTAAGAAATGTTTGATCTTTGAAATTTTTTCATTATTTTTGGGGTTACACATATGGATCTATTAAAATATTGGATTGCTCTAAAAGAAAATCATTTAGCAAGCCGCGTCAACGCTTGTGATATGCATATTAAACGCACTGAATATCATCCGTTTTCGAAGCAAATCACAACTGGAGATGAAAAATGGATTGTTTACAATAACGTCAATCGAAAACGATCATGGTCCAAGCATCATGAATCTCCACAAACCACTACAAAGGCTGATATCCACCAAAAGAAGATTATACTGTCTGTTTGGTGGGATTGGAAGGCTGTGGTATATTTTAAGCTGCTTCCAAGGAACCAAACGATATAGATCATCAACGAGCAGCGGCCAGCGTTGGTTAATCGTAAAGGTGTCATCATATTCCACCAAGGAAATGCTAGACCGCAGACAACTTTGGTCACTCGCCAAAAACTGACAGAGCTTGGCTAGGAACTGTTGATGCATCTACCATATAGCCCTGATCTTGCACAGCCAGAGTACCATTTGTTTGGATCTTTGCAGAACTCATAAGATGGTAAAACTTTCAAAAATGACAAGACTATGAAATCGCAGATAAAGGTCAGAGGTGCTATGAGTGTGCAATAATGACGTGGCCGGAAATATGGCGAAAGGTCATTCAACAAATTACATAATTGATTAAAGTTCATTATAAAACTAAAAAAAAAAAATTATTTATTTTCTTTTAAAAAATCGCCAGTTCCTTTAGGGGCAACTGTTTTTCAAGCGCTTTTGCTCAGGCGGCAGAAGTAAGAAAAGGATTTGCTAAATAGATCAATAAAATGGAAAGAGTGGACATCTTTTTAAGCTTAGGCTTATAGGTTTTATCAACTGTACGCGAAACGTCCCTGGTTTGGGTCCCTGGTCATAGGAAACTTCGGGGTGGATCAGCTGACTAGGTGTTATGATCCGGTAAACTCTGCGGATAGTTATCGATTTTTCGGAAATGGCTTAATCGATTTCTTAGCATAGCTTGCATCTATAAAACACGTTTGAGCATCTAGAGAGTTGAAAGAAATCTTCGTCATAGAACTAACATAGGTATCATCAAGAGGTCAAGGTTCCGTGATCGAGCACGCTGTTTAGTCAGTTAGTATCAATATATTCAGCGTTTAGATTGAATTCAAAAGTTTTTGGAATGTTTAATCGACCGAAGCGACTTTTAGCGTAATTATTAGATTTTTATAATGAATTTCCACTGCGCTAAAAAACCAACAAAAATTACAACAATTTCCTATTTGCTTACAAAATGTCCTTGAAACTTCTCTAAAACTGTGTGACTGATTTTCATTCAAACGTAGATATAGCAAATCCAGCTAGCTCTTCATCTTCTCACTTCCCTTTCAGTTGGTCAGTTGGTTTTAGTTCTGACATTTTCTTACAATTTACTAAAGTTTTAATACAAAAATCAAGACAGGCATCTACACACACCCGATGAAGTCCACTATAAGGGGTGATTTTTGAATTTTTAAACAATTGAAAAAAATATGAAAATTCTCCACATATTTCTTATTTAAAAATTGTAGATTTTTTTAAGCCCGGGTTCATCTAAAAAATGTAAAAAAAAGAAATAATATAGACTTAGTACCGAAAGTTCACAAGACTAAGAAGTAAGCATAGAAGAAGGGAGAGCGGAGTGTGCCAAGCGGCAAATTCTCTCGAACAAAAACTTGGATCGCCTTTTTGTCGAGACCACGTTTTTTCAACTGGGTGACACTCGCATTTAGAACGTAACAAGAACTAAACGGCATTTTACTCCAGAAATGTCTGTGCATGGCCGGAACTAGAACCAAAAATATGAATTGTCATTTAAAAAATTTATAAACAATTGAAATTTTAAAAAGGATAAAAAATTAAAAAATCCGCCCATTTTTTTTTTTTTTTTTTTTTTTTTTTTTGCTTTTTTTTCAATGTAGTCCGGTCATAGCTAAAGCGATACAGAATAAGAAACCGTTTTGATTTTTGCTTTCTGATGATTTACTTTACAGTTATCGTATCACTCACCAACCAAATGGACGTGTTTCAGCGGCAATTTTAAGAGCTGCCATTTAAAAAAATAAGAAATTTATTTTCAATTAATATTTTCTACATAAACTTTGATTTATAATTTGTTTTTTTTTTTTAATAAATAGAATTTGTTTAAAAAAAAAACACACACGTTTTTTGGTGGAACCTGGCGTTATGAGAAGAAGGTAACACGAAAAGCCGAAACACGTTGAGTGGAAAGTACTTTTATATTATTGTTTTATGGTTCTTAAGCGATGCATTTTCATAAATGCTTGACTATTAATTCAAGTAAATCATGTTTGTTTTGACACTTAAGTTTGCTAATAGTCAAAATACAACCCTGGAGGGAATATTTTGATATCAACTTATTAAAATTTGATCTCCTGAGCCTCCTGGGGATGAGATTATTTGGTAAGTGTTTTTTTTTTTAAGATTTAAATATGTTACTATGCCTCGCTTCTTTCCTTCTTTTAAAAGCATAAATAAATTAAAAACAAACACGCAATACATACGATTAAACGGGACTTAAATAAGGTTAACTAATCATAACGGCAATGGGGTTTTGATTCATTCATTTAAATTTACTTATTTGGCACTTCGTCTTTTTTGACTTTTCGTTTGCTTGGATTTGGATGATTTTGTTATCTTAAGCGTGCTGACTAGAGCGAGCAATTTTTTGCGTTTCTTTTTCTTACCATCGTGAAATGCGGATCGTTTGCGAACACTTTTCTTCTCACCTTGTTGTAATTGCTGCTGTTGTTGTTGTTGCTGCTGCTGCTGTTGTTGTTGTTGATGCTGTTGCATCATGGCACGTTGCTGCTGCTGTTGTTGTTGCTGTTGCATTAATAATTGTTGCTGTTGTTGTTGTATGGTAGGCGGTTGTGGATGTTGCGGCGGTAAGCCGGTCGTATACTCGTAATAGGTCTGTGACGGCGGCTGCTGTTGTTGCTGCTGCTGTATATTCAGACCAATAAAATCGGGTCGTCTTGGTTGGGTGGGCGTACCAGGATTGGATCTTTGCAGAGAAGAAAAGTAGTTGAAGTGTAGAAGAAAAAAAAACAAAAAGAAATTTTTAATGAAATTATTTAATTTCATATATTTATTTTTAACAAAATTTATTTATTTTTTTCTTTTTCATAGCAATGATTTACAACAACAAGCATTAAATTCACGACAATTCGGCAATGGATTAACAACACAAATAATTCGTTGAGCGTAAAAGATGAAAATTTGAAAAATGTCTAGAAGGCATATGCATGTACAGATGTATGGTATGTGTGTATGCATGTATGTATGTAGGGAGTTTCGATATATATAATATGTAAATTAAATTTGTAACAGAATGTGTTTGGTTCCGCAAAACGCACAACAACAAGCGTACAACAATGATTATGTATGATTTTAATTAAATAATTATATATGTATGTATGTATGTATGTATGTTTGTATGTATGTAAATGATTAATGAGCATATTTAGACACGCAGATAACAGTTATACACACAAAAGGGTAGAGAAGATGCTACAATTAAGTTATGGCAAAATGTGCTAAAAATTAATTATTATTATTATTCGCATGAAATTACGATGAAATTACGGTAATCAATTAATTACATTGTTAATCAGTGGTCTCTTAAATGTCGAAATGCAAAATAATATTACTCGAGTGCTGACACAAAAGTATTGAAATTGATCGACTTTTGCTCGCATGAAAATTACAATTTTATCTACAAAAACATCATTGTTGGTTTTCCATTTTTTTTTTTTTTTTTTTTTTTTGTGAAAATGCTGATACATAATGTATTTAGGGCTTAATTACTTGAACAGCGTTTGCATGGATAAATTTTCTAATCGATTTTGTTAGTTTAACAAAAATCGACCCAAACCGACTCGTATTGAGAATATCGACTGAGTCATAATAGATAAGCAATCAAGCTTTGCCACTCGACGGCAATTTGCATCAACCCTGAAATGTTTTCTTTAGCCAATTTATTGTAGCGTGCATTGATATATTCGACAATTTTTATAGGTTAGGTACTAGCAGACCCGGAAACACATTGTTGTGGATTTTTGTATTTTTTACAATTTTAATTAATTCGTGCGGTTTTTTTTCGAAAATTAAGACTTTATTGTGAAAAAACTGTTATACATTTAATGTTCAAAGTATTGCCCATTGGAAGCTACGATGTTTGCCCATCTTTTTGGCAGTTTGTGGATCCCATCCCAAAAGAAGATCTCCGGCTTAGAGGTCAATAACGAATCGAACCAATTTTTGATACCCTGTTCTGAAGTGAAGCGTACTCCGGTGAGGGCATTCTGCATTGATCTGAACAAGTGGTAATCGGAAAGTGCTTTTGTCTGGGCTATAAGGCGGGTGAGGTAGAACTTCCCACCCACAGTTTTCCAAAAAGTTTATAACTGGCATTGCCACATGTGGCCGAGCGTTGTCATGATGAAAAATTATTTATTCGTGTCTGGTCGTATATTCTGGTCGTTTTTCCGCGATGGCCTTTTTCAAACGAATTATTTGTTTTCGGTAGAGGTCCCATTGATCGTCTGACCCGATTTCAATAGCTCATAATAGAGCACACCCTTGTGGTCACACCAAATACATAGCATAACCTTGGCACCATGTTCATTCGGCTTTGCCGTGGATGTCGATGGTTGGCCGGGCTTCACATACGATCTCTTGCGCTTTGGTTTTTCATCGCCAGTGACGATCCGATGCAAAAATGATTGCTTTTGGTGGCGTTGAAGCAACATTTCCGACATGCAGAATCGATGTTCGACGACTCTTACCTTTAATTCAAAGGCACCCAATTTCCAAGCTTCTGGATGAATCCTAATGATTTTAATCGTCTGGAAACGGTTGCTTGATCAACCCCTAATACTTTTGCAAGTTCTTCTTGCGTCTGGCATGCATTTGCGTTGAGCAATGTCTCCAATTCTTCGTCTTGAAATTTTTTTTTGGCTCTCCGTTGTCTAAGTCGAAATTGCCGCATTTAAATTGTGCAAACGACTTTTGGCACGTTCGCTCGGCTGATGGTCACCCTAAACGTCCAGTAAAATACGATGGCTTTCGGTAGCATTTTTCTTCATGTTAAAGTAATGAAGAAGAACTCCCCGCAAAAACACTTTATCTGGTACAGATTTCGACATTTTCAAATGAATGAAACAAATTGTTGTTCACGCTAAAACCAATGACAAATGACGACGCGATAGAGAAGAGATGAACACGGCGCGAAATAATACTGGTAGAGCCCTCTCTTAGAAAACTGCATGAATTAATACATACACCCAATATAATTGGTATTGTAAATAACGATGAAAAAACCTTGGTTAAGGGGTTGCATAGGCCTTGAAGGCCAAAAAAAAACTTATTTTCTCTAATTTTTTTTTAGAAGATACTAAATAAAGTATACAATCTATTTTATTTACATATAAAAGGGCAATATGTGTACAATATTTGATGAAAATTTGAATGAAAAATATTATAAGTTAAGGCGTTGGCAGTGACGTGAAGTCGACCGTCCACAAGAAAGTGCTTTCGCGGTGGTCATGATAACTTTTTCAATTTTTATCTGAAATCAAAAATCCACATTCTTAAAGTAGGTGAATTTTCCTTGTCCCTGAACGAAGATAATTTAAAAAAATTAAAAATTGAATTTTTTGTTGCTTTTTTTTTTACAAAAAACGTAATTTTTTGCATAAAATTAGACCACATATTGGCTTGTAAAATGAGTTGAAATCAAGGATAAAATCCTTCGTTCAGAGACTACAAAAACGCGTTTTAAGTTTCGCCATCGGTGAAGCCATGTCAAAGACGGCGGCCTATAAAACTCTCTAATTTCTACATTTTCGTCTCGATCGATTTGAAACTTGGGGAAAATATTCCGGACCCTTGGTACTTTTATACAAAGTATTATCAAAAAAATGAAATTTTTGAAGTTTCAAGACCTATGTAACCCCTTAATCATAATATAATTCAAAATTTTAATCTTTTTTGCCTAGAATGCACAGAGTAAGACGAGACACTGAAACACTACCTTTACGAGTGTTCGGCCTTCAACCGATTGAGACAACACATCTTTAACGATGTTCCCAGCTCCAAACTCAAGGAGGTGAGCGCGTATGGTTGGAAGAAACTCAAATAATTTATAAAATAGAGCGAACCTTTCGCAAACGCTTAATTGGGATACACGTGGGAACACAATGAGCTTCCCTCTTTCTACCAACTAATTCTAAAATTGATTTCGACTCTACACATTTTTAGCATAAATAAATGAACATATTTATAGTTTGATATTCTTCTGCGAACTCTAGAAAATTGTCGGGATCCGAAAAAAAGAGGTCCCGATATTTTTGAATCACAAATAAGGAGGCAACAAATTCTACGCATTCCAAGCTGCTTATAATTTTTCTTTTCGAGATTTTAAACAATTTTAACCACATTTTAGTGTTATCAAGTCGGAATTCTTTATTTATTTGATATTCATAGTATTATTTTTGAAAAAGATACGATATCTAAAAGCAAAAAGTCCTTTGTCACCTGTGAATTTCTGATAAAAATGTTTAATGTTTCCATCATTTCCACACTTAGGGTTCCATATAGAGCTTTTGTATGAAAATAATAATGCTGGTGGGCGCCTGCATGAGCAAACAACGCAGAGTACTATGCAACAACGAACTCAGGCCGTAAAGCAGCGAACAACAGCCCACCACAGGTAGTAGCAGGAGCTTTGTACGGAGGCAATAACGTGATGTATCGTCGAAGTTGCAAAATTCCCATATGCTAACATTTTGGCCGAGAAACATGTTGCGCAAACGCAATGCCTGACCCATAAACCAAGCACAATACCACTGAATGTACTGCAGCAGCTTCGACAGGGACAAACTGCAGAGCAGCCCAACAAGCATAATGAAATTGATATCCGACTCTTGTGGAAATGTGCTATTGCTCGAAGGCATACGTCTGAAACGGGATTCAGTGAGGACAGCCTTCACTTGTGGCTTGTTGCTGGCGACACTACTATCCAAGAGCATAGTCGAGCTCTTCTTCGTCAGTACACTGAATGCCGATGACATTGTGTCATTGTAGGGATCTTCATTGAATGAACGTGATGAGGTTTTCGATGCCGAATCGGTGCGTGGTGATGTCTTGTAATGTACACCGCCAGTATGACGTTCTGAGTTTAGCGCATCCGTATCGTTGCTATCGCTTTCGTCCGGCAACATCTTCGAGTGCATTGACATACGTTTCGATAGATTTTTCCAATGCTTACTGCCATTTGTCAAACCTTTCGACGTTGCCGTTAAAGTGTCGGTGCTCTTGCAATTGTTCATGATGCTTGTAGTGATATTGCGCTGGTGTATATCCGTCTCCCCATTGCCAGCGCTATAATAACCAATGCTATTTTTATCCATTATTGTGCTCATCAATTCATTTAGCTCTGATTTTCCGCTACGGTTATCTGCCAGCATGCGGGATTTCAATCTTTCATTGAATATTGGCGTATAACTGTGGTGCACATCGTTACTGTTGTCACGATTTGCATCGGTGTGAGGCAGTTTTCTGGCATACTTCATTTGCAAATTTAGATTGTCCGAGGCGAAAGGTTTATTTTGCGTTTGCATGTTGAGTTCTTCACAGGTTTTCAGTGTATGATCTTCGAAAACGTCGTTGACGTTGGTTTTGTGTCGATAACTCTCGCCTAAACGTTGCATAACTCGCAGATATGCAAGCTGGAGGAATTTACTTGGTGCTATTGTATCAACTTGTTTTAGAAACTTTTCGTTAATTTTTTCATTTGTATCAAAATTTATGAGATATAAAGGGAAGTGTAGTATGTTGAAATATAGTTTTTTGTATCGAATTCTCCGAGGTGCAGTAAAATTTTACATATACAAATTCTACACAGTAGTTGAAAAAGAATGAAAGAACCGATTAAAAGACACTATATATAATGAGATTGGTGGCATCCTTTAAAGGTAACTCTGGAAAGCCGACTTTAGGCAA